ATTATCTTCACGTGTGAAGAAGCTTATTCTTGATTTTCACCCAAGTATTCCCTAACAACTTTATCAATAACTTTGAGTTGTAAATCATTTTTGTGTAATTTATTGTAATATTCTTAAATTTGTTTAATATAATTGAAATATTCAATGTCATGCGACGTATTTTTTTTTCAGTTAAGTTCTCTCTTTATATAAAACTGGATTGAAATTATTGTAACAGAACTTATATAGAACTTATGATTTATGATTAAAACACCTAACAACTATGAAGTTGTAATTCTCCTTGTATTCTTCTGTAAACCGAGTGGAGGGTATAACTGACAGAGCAGGAGATGTAATAAAGGGGCTAACATAGATGTAATTTTTGTTGTGCAAGTAGGACTAATGATGTAGTAAAAATTAGGTCAGAGGAGCTAATAAAATCATAACTACATTTTGTCAGGAATACTGCCTAGAATTAATTTTGGGGATGAATTTGTTACAGACCACCAGATGGTGCTGGTGAAATTAATGAGAAACTTTACAGTGAGATTAGGATTTCAGCCGTTAATGAGGTCATAATTATTAGTGATTTTTAATTTCAGACATATAGATTGGGAAATGCTAGAGTCAAACCATGAAGGAAAAAGGGTTTTGGAAACTGTTCAAGATGGTTTTCTTCTCCAATTAGCCAAGGAACCTACTGGAAACAATGCTATTTTAGATTTATTGTTAACTTCTAATATAGAAATTGTTGAGAGGGTAGAAATTGGGGAACATCTGTGTGCAAGTGATCATTGCTCTATTAGGTTCGATGTTTTGTCGTATATGGAGATAAGGAATGATGATATTTTGGTTACAGATTTCAAAACAAAATTTGAAGGGATGTGTTAAGATTTATCTATTATGAATTGGGCATCTGAGTTATTTGGAGACACTGATCAAATGTTTAAGGATAAATTTTTTAAATAACCAAGGTAAACATATTCCTTATAGAAAGAAAAAAGTAGCTGCAAGTAAAAATCCAGGTTGGCTCATAAATAGTTTAATAGTTAAAATTAAAGAAACATATCACAAGTTTAAGAAATTTAAATTGATTGGTTTGATGGGAGATTTAGAAGATCAAGAAAGTTGATCAAACAGGAAATCAATAAAGACGTATGAAGAAATGTGGAAATTAACAGTAAGGATTACTTTAAATACGGTAAGGGTAAACAAAATGTTAGTATTGGGGTAGGACCTTTGAGAGATAGTAAAGGAAGGCTCGTATCTGATGATTATCAGTTGTTACTGATGAAGATTTAAGCAGTATTCTATATCTTGAACAGTTGATAGATGGAAACAAAATGATCCCGTCAATTCTGAGATTGTTAAGAAAAAATTTGAAAGTTTAAAAAATGATAAGGCTCTTGGGCCATATAATATTTCCCCAAGGGGGTTTGAAGTAGGTTAAGGATTGGATATGTGAGCCACTTACTACTACGTTTTGTAAGTCATTAAATAGTGGGCAGGTACCAGAGGATTGGAAGTTAGCTGATGTCACTCCTCTTTTAAAGGGAGGTAATAAAAACTGTCCCATTAATTATAGGCCCATTAGTCTTTTATCAGTTGTGGGAAAAGTTTGGAAAGTCTGCTGAAAGATGCTTTGCAAAGTCATTTAACAAAATTTTGAA